TTTGTTGAAGTAGATTTCCTTGTGGTAATGAACTCATTAACAAATGATTTATCTTTAATTGATCTTGATAATAATAATAATTTTGACTGATGACAGTTCTAGAAAGTCCAATTTTTTTAAATTTATACTCTAATTCTGATATATGTGTAATTCTATTATGCCAGCATAGAATTCTGGTCAATGTCTTATTCTAATTAATTTGTTAATATATAAATACATCAATCGTTTCCCTTGGGCACTGCGATGCGACAGGCAATCAGCAATCTATAGCATAAACGTAGAAATAATTTTTCGAAATTCAATCGTCTTTTCGAAATATTTAACTGTGTATTTCTCCGAAGTGTTGGTTTGTGTACTTTAGGAATGTTCAACATCCTGACGTTCCGAAATATCGATCGACGTTTGAGTCAGGGTGACGTCATTGCAACATGACGTCACAATGGAGTGTGTGAGCGAGATGACGCAACACGTGGAAAGCGGTAAAGAGAAAAACGATGGACAGGGCTTTGGAACATATAGGAAAATACATAGAAAATTGGTAAAAAAACTATATGTGGTGTATTTTAAAGATTTTTATGATATTGCTAAGTTTTTCGATAGATAGAGGTGCAAAAATTATTAAATTTAAAAATTTCTGGGTCACTATAAATCAATTTTTTATCACGTATGTGTCATTTTATTGGAAAGCAACCAATTTGCCAAGGACATTTGGCCAGCAATTCCGAAGTTTCTTTCTTTAAAAAAGTTGTCTAATATTTTGGGCACTTATTTACTCCGAAAACATTATTTTATTGACATTTATTTTATTTTTATTAATTTAATTTTGATCAAAATTCAAAGATCAAATTTCCTTAAAGATGCGCTTAAAAATCTACGGAATTACTCTGTAACTATAATGAAATTTTAAACTTCATAAAATTTTATAAAAAATATGATCTCAAACTAGAAAAAAATCTATATTAATATAATGTTCAGTTAATTTTGATACTTCTATTTTTCAATCTACACTTTTGTAAGCTACTTGAGTTCATTCATATGTTGCAAACGATTCTATAATTGTAAATTCAGTAAAAACGATTGCAATTTTTTTTCTCAAAATAAATCTTTCTCAGAAAATCAACATAAAAGTTTTTCTACTTGCCATTGTTAATTTAATTAATTATATTATTTACAAATTGAATAAAATATGTGTTTAGGAAAAACCGTGGATTGCAGTCCATGTTTTAACCAATAAAGCTCGTGTTTTATTACTCTTTTTCCGGACACAAATAGGTTACTATACACGATTAGCTGGTTGAATAATTTATTATTTGTTCAATGAATTGTTTGTGGAAAGAAAAAAGAAACTTTTTTCAGGTTGCCATCAGAGGTTTCAGTACTTCTTTATTCTTAAAAAAAAATTCCATGGTAAAATGTAATCAAGTGTACGCAAAAGTTCACCATACATGTAATTGAAGAATAAATGTATTTATGAAGTCGTTGGGGGATTGGAAATATTAAAAAAGTTTTTTGTTTCTGAAACTGAAAAGTAATAATTTATTTTTCTTTGAAATATTGAAAATGTTTATAATGTATTTATTTACTTTACGTTATACATTTGCACATACATTTATAGATTAGAATTGAAATAACATTTATTTAGACTAACGAGGTTTGCTAATAAAAAAAATATAATCAATAATTTCGTACTGAAATAAGTGTTTTATTGAAAAATTTCATTTCAATTTTTTTTACAAAAATGATAAATATTAAAAAAACATAATGTATTGTGAGAAAGCTACAAAAGCTCCTTATATTTTATAAACTAGGGTAAATTATTTTAATTTAATTCAATAATGAAATAAATGAATTTCAACAGCACAGATTCATGTACAATATCTCATTAACATAGGATTATTAGAGGAGATAGTTCTTTTTATTTCAGATGAGATTATTATTAGATATTTCTAACGATGATGCGATCGATTTGCTGAATTGGCTAAATATCCAATAACAAAGGTTATTGTAATACGTATTTTACATTTGGCCTACATCAGCAAATCTAAACATTCAACTAAACTCACCTTGGAGTCATATCCCCAATTACTTAATTGCTAATCCTATAAATATAGCAGAATTGTCCGAAGAGGCTATTTTCACTTAAAACCATATCTGGATCTATATTTTCAAGCAAAAACAGAAATCACTACTGCTTGATATTAGAGCTCTGCTAGAAAGATGGGCAAAAGATGTGTCTGGTGATGGGCAATACTTTGAATGAATCAGATGTAAAAGGTTTTATATATAAAAGTTACATTTCTATAAAAAAACAGCGAGAACTTAGTTGCGCACCTAATAGGATCTCAGTAGAGATCTCATGTGGAATCTTGTTATTGCAAGTCCAAAGATTTTATCACAGAGCTAGAGAAAAACTCTGCTCCTATACATTGCTGATTTATTTTATCACAATATATTAGTTCCAAAATGCAATCCATATTAGAGCTTCTTAATGTAGTTCAATTTTAATGCGCCTGAAGGAATTTGGTGATACATAGCAGTAGTGTTTCCAATCTATATTCCGCAATATTTAGAGAATCTTTTAATCCATTTAGCATTTACATATACATTTAGATAAGTAAATAATCTTCAACAAATGACATCGTTCATTTCGCACTTGGATATCTCTGTTCCTTCAATCCCAACAAGTTGCATCTATTTCGATCGTCCGAAATTCCGCGTTGAACTGAGCTGGATGGAAATAACCGCGCGGTCAAGGAAGGCGCATCGGCGTTCGTCCGCCCGGTGAACATTTGTGAGAAGTGAAATCACCGACGATAAATTTATCTCACAAAAGTGCAACGCGAATCGATGGGATCGTTGACTTCTGGCATTAAGGATTAGGACTTGAATAAAAAATAGAAGAAATATAATTAAGAACTGTATTATTTGCGCAAGAAGATCAAAAACAAGATCAAGAAGTCAACGTTGTGGGACAATAAACATTAGTTAGTTACTAACTAACCATCGTTAACTTCTGGCATTAAGGATTAGTACTTTAATAAAAGTTACAAGAAATATAATTAAAAACTGTATTATTTGCGCAAGGAGATCAAAATCAAGATCAAGAAGTCAACGTAGTAAGACAATAAAACATTAGTTAGTTACTAACTTACCATCGTCGACTTCTGGCATTAAGGATTAGTACTTTAATAAAGGTTACAAAAAATATAGTTAAAAACTGTATTATTTGCGCAAGAAAATCCAAATCAAGATCGAGAAGTTTTTCAATGTTCAAATTTTTTAAATGCTTTCAAAATTTTCAAAATTGTTCAAAAAAAGTTAAAAATTCTCAACAAAAATATAAATTTTCTGAACATTTTTATTTACATTACAGGAAGTCCCAGCAATTTGCCTGAAGGCATCGTGCCATTCACCTCTAGTTCATTTTTTTGTGGAATAGACAAAACAATCTAAGAACTCGTATATCATTAAACTTTTCCCATAGACACTTAATATTTAATGAATATTTCCTATCCGGTCTTGAGACGAGCATGTAATTTTATAATGTGGCTCACGAAGTTCCTCCGGCTACATTATCAATTAAGACAAGTGCTGAAGTAGCCAAGATGAGATGGTTCGTGCGGGCGTAATAACTCATTTGCTTTTGTGCCCGGGTCAGAAGTCAACACTGTAACGCAATGAGTTAAAACAATTATTCAATTAACAATCTTACTAACTATAACTGCATCCTTCCTATGTATCATAAATAACAATCAAATTGGACCAAGAGTCTTTAAGCAGATGATAAAGACTCTACCTATGGGCATTAAATTATTGTTGGGCGAAGAGTTTTGAAGAGATCGTGGCGAATCGCTCATTCTAATAAGATTTTTTTATAATTACTTTGATATCAGTTTTTTGTATATTTCTAAGATGGTCGAGACGTTCACATTTATTGCTTTTATAATAGATTAGGTGATTCGACCATCCTTTCTCATCTTCTTCTGCAGAAATTATCAACTGTTACTAATTACCAACTACACTAATTTTTGTAATATTTTTCACTAGTTAATAGAATCAGCACTCTAGCAACATAAACTTAGCTGATTCAATTTTTATATCTTGAAGTTTTTCATAAATTAGTTGAGTAGAACCATGAGTCTAGGAACTTATACCTAGCTGATTCAATTTCATTTATTATAGTCTTTTTTGAAGTTAATGTTGAATCATTAGCCTAAAAACTTAAATTATTTTTACTTAAATTATTGTTGGAACAAAGAGTTTTTGAGGAGATGTTAATTATGGGACAAAAATAGTTTCTACAAATTGGTTATATTTTTACCTATGAGCAAAACTTCTTATTTGGCAATTTTGATATGCATCCACTTCTTATGACTTTTTACGATAGAATTTTTGACGTTTTGATATTATCTCTATTCATGATCAATATATTGTTTTTGAACAAAAAGAGTTTCAGACGAGATTGAAATAATTTTACCCTTGAGTACAAAATTATTCTTGGATAAAAACAATTTTGGGCTATATTATAAATTGCTCTGTAAAATTAAACAGACCAAATGATTCAAATTTTTATTAGACAAAATGAGATCTATGAGCTATTTATTTATTTCTATCACACTAGCTATTTCTGTAATTATATGTAATTATTGTATTATTTAATTGTTTGTCAATTAGTTAAACATTGGCAAATTATACATTGTTCAAGAAATAATAATGCAACTCACGCAATTTGAAAGATAATAATTGTTCGATTATCAATTTATGCAGTTATATTTATATAGGTAATTTTATTTCTTTGTATAATAGTTGTATCGTGTTGTTTATGATTTCGAGGGGTCCTTTCAAGTTATTTGTCTAATTTATGAATCTAATTTTGTTATGATATTGAATTTCAATAGTCATAATTTATGTAACAAAAAAAAGATTATATAGTTGAAATATTTATTAAAAATATTAATATCATTATTACAAACATATATTTATAGTATAAAACAAACAATAAATTTTTAATATACAAAATCTATTTAAATATATATTTTTAACATAAAACTAATTATAAAGAATATTTTAGTAATAAATTAAGGAATGAGTTAATAATACATTTATAGAAGCATACATATAAAATCACTTATATAGCAGCATAATTTTAGTAAAAAAATTATAAAACGATACTATTTTTAAGTGCTATATGTTGTCAGTTCTTTGCCGAGAAGTATAAAATAATTTTGGAATAAGTCATTAAAATATAAAGGAATATTGGATACGGGCACTTTTTTAAAAAGCGGGTATCAATATTAAAAATACTGTGTAGATATCATTAAAACTTAACATATAAAATATTTCAAACAGTTTATATAATCACAAAAACATGGGTAATAATATAATAATTTATGCAATATCTATGAACCCAATAAAAGACGCATGGAATGAATTTACATATTAATTTTTTTTTTAATTTTTACTAAATTTTTATCAAGTAGAAATTAGCTTTTGATATGTAATTACGAAATGTCCTCTTATATAGATAGTAATTATAAGAAAGAGAAACAAACTTAATGGCATAGTTATGTGGGTAGTTACTAGAATTGTATGTTGACTTATATATTCTACATTCACATTATTTGTTTTATATTACACCATTAAAAATTAAAACCTATCGTGAACTTTGGGAGGATAAAGCTCATAAATTTTAATGAGAAAAAGCAAGTAATCCAAACGTATAGAGATTACAAAGCAAAATGAGCTTAAAATTAGTAAATTACTCTTTGGTACCTCAAGAGTTTTGTTACTACCATGCGTAGTTTATTGGCCTTATTTTATTGGTAATCAACATAAAATCCACTCGCTCAATTACAGTATTACGTATTCGTTCGTGGTATTCAAGATAATAAAACTTACTTTTCAACGTTTTGTAAAATCCTCAATTGTACATCGTATAAGTTTTCCAGGCTGTTAGCAATATCGTAAGGGCGGTGGCGAGGAAGCTCGCCTGTAATCCGCTGACTGAGTTGCAGACTTTCGTGACATGGGCCACGGAAAAACCGCGCCTTCGCAAAAGGCTGTGGATGCCATGAATTTCCTGAAGGAAATGGATTATGGAGAATTAGATGGGATTAAATACGGTTTAGCATTTTCTTGACATGTCGCGAATCGTAAATGATTGCGTTCTTTGTGATAACAAGCATGATTTATTCAACGGTAAAATATAATATATTCATGATTATGAATAAGAAAAATGTAATGTCTACATTATTATTGCCGAAGCAGCTGAGATGTGCCAGGAATTAAAATAATATAAGAAACAATATATGGTTTGGATGAATAAGTCTGCGCATGCGTCTATCAGTGATTGCACATCAAACTTAGCCTATAATTTAATTTGAAAAAATATTATTTTTTAACTAATGCAGTCGTGTGTTGCCTTACTTTACTAAATCACAATACAAAAAAAATACTTATTCAAAAAATTATTCTCTCAACTATGTTGAAAATTCTTATTATATCATTATTAACTTTAAATTTTTAAACCATCAATTTCATAACCGGCATTGAAAATTTGAAAAGTGTTGGGCAAAATGTTCGTCGAAGATTGAGTTTGAATGAGTGATTTAAAAATGTTTTTTACCTGTGAATCAAGTTGGCGAAGTTGTCTGGACAAGACGATGGTAAATTGCCTGCTGTCAGGAAGACGTTCGCAAAAGTATAGTACTAGATGGTCTTTCACGGCCTTCATCACTTGAACAGTCCCAGTGAATTGATTATATGAATAATCGAGAGCTGAAAAATAATACAGCAACACTAAATATTTGTGAAATTTATAAAAATTATGTTTTAAACACCAAACCACACTAAAAATATAAGATAACTCTAACTATATTTACAGCAAGTGGTCTTATAAGTTTGAACATTATTAAATTTTTCTGATCATCCAGACCAAACTCATAAAAATGTTTTTGATGTTAATGCATTTGTAAATATAATAATAATAATAATAATGATAGGTAGGTAGTACTGCCCTAGTACTATACTGCCCACACTATTGTCCAACTCAATTCAGAAAAGATTTCGAGAGATTTCCCATTGCCAATTTACACTACAGTGCCCGAAATGAGCTATTTTTTCAGAAACATATTTTCGGAGTAATTTTTTAAAATAATATGTATCTGTTACCATCATTAACCGTTTAAAACTTTGAAGCCACAATTTTTGGAATCTTCAGAAAGCTCTTCACAATTGGCAATTACTTGGATCTTACAATTTTTATGGTTATAAAGTACGCATAACGATTACAATAAAACAGTTGAAATGAAATATAATATATTAATTATTAGTCTTGTTTATTAGAGTTTCATAAAATTTATTGTCGGTCAAATGTTAAATAGCACTGAAGGCCGATGTAAACAATGCTTTGGCCACGTCATTAATTAAAATATCGTAAAATAATTGAATATTTGTAAAAATAATTTAACAGAATAATTCATTTAGTAATATAAATATAAATAATATATTAGTAAATAAGACTGTGAGTAAAATTATATCATATTTGTTTACAATATGTGTTACAATTGCTTTGTCCTTCTTAGAATAAGTTGCTTCGCTCTGATGAGTAGTGTTAAATTAACCTTGGTCTTGACAAAAAGACTAATTTCTATTGTCCATCGTTATAATGTGTTTTTTAGCAAATAAAATATGAACATTTTTTTCGTTGTTATTATTTGAAATCAGCAAGCAATGATTATAACCTTTCTTAGTGCTTTATGAGCTGTTGTGGTGTACTTTGTACTACCTGGCTTTGTTAGAAGGTAACCCAATAGGTATCATTTTTCTTTGTGATGAAATTTTTATTTTACATACTTGTAAAGTAGTAATGTTCCTAAAGTCTATTTTAATTTGTTTGGGTCTACGTTTAGAAGTAAAAGCTGATACCACTACTGTTTGATATCAAGTTGTACGTAGCTTTCTATTTTTATTACTTACGGTCTCCCCTGTAAGGTGCTGTAGACAACCAGTATCCACGTGCAGAATTGTTGTATTGCAAATAATAGACCACCGTTTTTCTGTCTTCGGACCATGTCAACCTAAGATATCTAAAAGATCGATCTGAAGGTCTTCCTGTAGGGTTCCAAGATTGGCCGCCTCTTCCCTGCTGCCTCCTTTGTTGGTAACCGTATTCTCCTGGTCGATACGACGTCTCCGTTGTCGTCATCTGGATAAAAATTCATATAGCAAACCATTTGGGGTAAAATATTATTTATCATATTTTAAGCCTTGATTTTTTATTGTATATTATAGAAACAATCAGTGCTCTATAAATTATAAAAAAGAAAAATAGAAATAGTAGGAATTAACATGGAATTGACTATGGATTATACTGTAATATAAAGGAAACAAGAAAGGTGCCTTAGGTAGTTTCTATAAAAGAATTTGGCAATAAAAATTTGGATTAGAACAAATATATTGATTTTTATCTCTCACTTTGTTTGTTAAAAAAATTCAAATGCAAAGATCTAATAGTTTAAAATAATTCCTAATCTAAAAATAGGATTTACCTCGTGCGTTGCATCCAGTATATTTATTATAGGACACCTCGAGACTGATTTATTCGTCATTTCATCCCTAACAAGGGAATAATCGTCTGTATTCGTGTGTGTTATTTCTTCAGCTCCAATCCATAACCCCATGAGCTGTAAGTTTTAATTATCATATTTTTTAATAATTTATGAAACACAACAGTCTTAATTTTTAGTAGATTGAAAAACTTTATAAAGGCACAGAATGATTAAAAGCTTGTACTATATCTTTGTTTTTGATTTCAAAATTGATAAGATTTAATCCTTAAAGCTCAAATATTAAGTGATCGTTTATCTGCGATAATATAAATTTATAATTATTTAATAATTAACTTTATCCAATAACTGTATTTTTATTTAAACTTTGTAAATAGGTACTACATTTTCGTGGCTCTCTAAAGATTATATGTGTAAACGATATTCTCTATTTTTTTCTCTATTTTTTCTCTATTTACCAACTCTTTTAAGTTTTTCTTAATTTAGAGAAACAAATGTATAATAAAAATGCTTTTCATTTAAGAAAAAAAATATCGTTTCAATAAATACACGATATTAAAATAGTATACTTCCTAATCCTTTTATTTATGAATCGATTTACATAAAATGCAACAATAACGGTTTTGAATTGTAGAGAAAGTAAGTTATTTTTTCTTGTCAATTTTTATTCATTTGAAATTTATATATTTGTTTTTTTAAATGAGAACAAGGCAATACATTTGATAATATAATTACATTTAAAAAAAAATACTAAGTTAAAAAATACATGAAAGGCTCTGTATTTTTTTTTATTTAATCTTCCGTCTAAGGGCGACTATTCAAATCATATTATATATTCGATTAACTTGTCTTTTATACAGAATTTTATAATTTTGTTTCCACTCACACTATCGATATCAACATCTGTTTGAAAATTCACCGGTCCACAGTTTTCATTGAAAGCTCCGACAACCTTTGAACAAAGCACGGACAAAGTCGCTAAGGCCAAAAAGCACCACATTTTGTTGACTAAAATTATTTTGTTCACACACAAAAAAACTTTGAATTTTTCTTTATTATTTTATTACAATCACCAGCACGATTTTATTTAAAATTTAAAATGATTTTTAAATCGAAACGCGTTCTCTTCAGTTCAGAGCAAACCGCCCACTGCCTGAACTGCACTAGGATGGTTGTCAGACTGAATGTGTAAGACCTGATCTGATTGTGAGATGAGAATGAGTTTTATTCGAGTTAATTAATTGACCAGTCACTCTGGACCCTCCTTTGTTGTTTTGAAATAATGATATATTACACTGTTAAATTTGTGACAGACAAATGAGGAAAAAATACCACAATTCCAAAAAGTAATTTGTTAAAATTTAATTTGATTAAATTTTAAACATACTTATAATATTTTGGAATTAAATTAAATTAATTGTTTATATCTTAAAAATTATTTTACTATGTTTAACAAAAACCTTGGCCGTTAAATTTTTCTTGTACAGAAAAACATGTTGTACATAATTAAAGTGCAGAAAATCGAGCTTAAGCCAAAAGTTTATCATTATCATTGATAATATCATTTATTATCAATTATTAAAGTATTAAAACATTACTTGGCATCATGACATCTTATTAAATATATTTTTAGAATTTTGTCGAATAATATAAATCAAATAAAATATATAACAATAAAGGGTTTATTTCACTGTTACTGGAAACTGGTACTGAAATGATTTTTGCACTAACTTTTGGTCTAAAATACCACGAAAAATTACCAGGTCATCCAAACAAATATTTAAAAAAATCGAGTATAGAATTTCCTACTCGAAGATTAAAAAAATGGCCATACGATCTTAAATAAAATGTCAAAAATAAAATTTCTCATAGGAGATAAACGTCTTAAAAAATTATATTATTTTGATCGGCAATAAATATATGTAAAAAAAAACTTTGGTCAGGATGGAAGTCATTAACATTTTAATTTTATTCATTTATATATTAATTTAATTTATTTTTTAATTTGAATACTCTTTATTCTATTTGACTAGCATAATTGCTTTTAAAGTATATGATTCAAAATGCGGTTTTTGTGTTTTAAATTAAAAAATTGTTAAGTAATTGTTAAATTGCAAGAATATTAGGACATTGATCAATATCATGACATTTGGTCAAATATATTTTTTGAGAATATTGTAAAATATTATAGAGTAAGCAGAATATATACAACAACAAAGAATTTATTTTACTGTCATTATTAGTAATTTCTATTGCACCCACTAACGGTTAGGATGGACGTCATCTATATTTAAATTTTATTCTTTTATATATTGATTTTATTATTATTTTTTTGTAAATTAAATACTTTTTATTCTAACTAATATATTCGCTTTTGAAGCATATGGTTCAATTAATGTGGTTTTCGTGTTTTCAAATTGTTTGTGTTTTATCTACTGAAGATGTATCAAATTACGGCTCGAAACGTACAGATTTCTATTAATTTTTTAGAAACATTATACGAGAACAGAAATTAGAGGCAAATCAGAGTCAAAACATTTATAAATTTAATATTAATCATCCCAAAAAGAATGCGCCTGCTTCATATTTCTAAAAATAATAAAATAATAATAAATAAATAAATTAATCATCATATTAACTATAATAATAAGAATATAATCATATTTGACCAAAGTACTAAAAACATAAATCAAAATATTTTACATTTATTAGAAACGAATCATTTATTTTATTTACTACTACTATCATTTGGGTAATTAATTATGGGATTTCAAATTAAATTAAACACTTTCATATTATAATTAATTTTAATTTATTTTAATTTCAAATTTTCCATCGAAACAATTATAATGTACCGACGACACTTTGTTTAATCTTTGCTGGAGGCATTTTCTTACCACATCGCTATTTTTGGCCTCAGAGATCGTGCACCCAGCAGATGTCCTCAAAGGTGCTGAAGATATACACATTACTAGGGGGTCCTAAAGTTCTATTTTAGATTTTATTTCGAACAAAAACGAAAAAAAAACTTTGACATGCCAGAGTGAATGCACGGCGTGATTTTAAACACAGTCTGTAAATTCAGGAAGTTTGAGTTTGGAACGATATTGTGGAAATAAAATTATTTGTAATAATAAAATGATTAAAAATAGTATAACTAGTGGGGCGCATGGCATCGTGCCTTAAGGCAAATTGCTGGAACTTCCCGTACCAAATTTTTTTTTTTTAAAAAGATTAACATTTTTGAAAAAAAAATATTCTGAAAAAATTAGATTTTTGAGAAACTATAAATTTTTGACGAAAATTTACTTTTTTTTGAAAAAAAGACTTTTTCAAGAAAAATTTATTTTGAAATATTTTGAAAATTCTGAACTTTTTTTTCAAAGCAATCGTACTGCTTTAACTGCATAGAGTTTTCATTTTCGATTTTTTTGCGATTACTATAACTTGCCCTATGGGAAGTTAATAAAGTTTCACAAATAACTCAGAGCCACAAATTTCTTTAATTGGGATCAAATCCGCATTTTGGACCACCTGATATCGAGCAGTTGTAATAACTGAATTTGCATTGAAGTGTAGATTTAAATATGTTTCCAAGGGGAACTAGCTCTTTGTGATATTTTTGCAATAAGTGCAAATATATCACCACTATTAGGAAAGGGACAACCATTGGGTTGCCTTCTAAAAAGCTACTTAGTTGATGCGTATCGTTATCATAACAGTAGATATTTAGATCTCTCAGATCTTACTGTTGTTTAAAAATAATATAGCTTACTATTATTACATTACTATAGTAATTTCATTTCCAGTATATGAATCCCAACGATCATATTTGCATACGCAATCGCTATGTTTTAGACAACGTTGTCAATAATAAAAAATAAAATACCTACACACAATAGCAATATATATACACACACATATATATTATATATATATATATATATACATATATATATACCTAAGTCAAGTACATATTTTATAATTTTTTGCATCTTGAAGCAATAACGTACAGGCGGTGACATAACCTCAATTAAAGCACGTCTTTGTCCGTGATGCTAATTGGTGACACATCCAGATGGCTCATGAATGAATGAATGAATCAGGATTGCACTGAACCATGATATATATCATACAGACACCTTCAAATATTATCAGGACTTACTCGATATGATAAGCAATTATTTGTAAAATAATGATAAATTATCAGTTTTGTGAAAATGATACTGCCAATCTGTCAATCGAAGTGTGGCCCCACCTGTTTGACTAGATAGTAAGGCATAGAGTCTCTCTCCCAACTAATTTTATAATATTGTTGACAAAAAGAAATATATGTGGTGCGCTGTATATTTATATACAGTGCAATAACATAAAATTATAAAGTCGCTTAAGAAAGTGTATATGACTAATATACTCATATACAAAGTCAAAGAAAGAAAATAAAAAAAAAAAACTAGATATATAGCTATATTAAAAAGGCCATGAAATCTTTGGTAAGAGGGTCAGAACAAAATAGACAAATTAAAATTTCAACTAGTATTTTGATTGAGATGCAGAATTATAGACCAAGGAAAATTTGCCTTTGCTAAGATTGTATTAATGTTATTTAAAGAGCTTCCTATTGAACTTTGTTTTAAAGCAGATATGTCTTTAGGATAATTATTATAGAGACTTTAAACTCATATATTTCAAGGCCGGGAGTATGTTCGCGCCAAATCAAAGCATGCAATTTATGATTAAAAATAAAATAAAATCAATCAAAAATTATTATAAAATAAAGTCAATCAATAGAATAATTAAAACATTAAAAATATTGTAAATACAAGTACAATTTGTAGTTAATTAAAAATAAACACATAATATTATAATTAAAGTGTTTTACAACTGTTGTCCTTTAAAAATCAAATCAAACAACCATCGAAAAAACAAATCATCCAAATAGTTGCTCTTCATTTCTATGAATCCATACATCAAGCAAGCTCTATATTTTCATGAAAATATCGGACTGAACCAAATTTAAACAAATATGAGTATTTTTAAGCAGCTTGGCATTAATTAATGTTTTTGGAACAAATTTTTAATTTTAAGCTCTGAGAGATCAAATAGTAAAATATAAACTAAACGTTATTAAATATTACTATTTCCATACTCTATTTATTTTTAAAGTATAACTGATAAATCGTAACGATTAAATTTGTGATTAAATTTGCACCAATTTATTTCTTGTATACTTTAAGAAAGTGTAAAGTATTTTAAGTAGGTGAGACTATAAACCGTCCACACCCTCAGGACGGTTGTGACAGGGGTTAAAAAGGTATTTATATCTATTTTCTATTTTGATCGGCAATAAATCTATGCAAATAAAAAAAAATCTATTTTAAATTATTTTTTCTCAAGACAAGATGCGATTCTCATCAATACTAAGCCAATGAAAGTTGATTCTTTAAATTTTGTTTTTTGTCTATCGTTTTTTGTCTTTGAATTTGTTTTATCTATTCCATATAAATTGGTAACAGTATCATATTAATATATTTATTTAAGTGAACTCTATGGCACAAACAATTGAAATTAATTTCCACAATAGATATTTTGTAGCTTGATATAGTAATTTATTTAGCCATGGTTGATTTGGGCAATTGCTTTAATAACCATATGACGCCGTGAGTCACCTCAGAGAAAGCCACTTGCAAATAAATTCATTATCAAAATGACAGAAATTATCCGATTATGATGTTTTATTTGCCATCGATAATTATAGAGTTGTTAGAAATTTTGACTCATCACTGATTAAAACATATCTAATCACCATTACATAAAAAAGTAAATTCTGACGACAACAATGCACTTGTTTTTTTCTAAAAGGATTATTGAGATCAATTTTATTTATTTTTTAAAGCTCTAGCATTTTTACATGTTTTTTATATTTGGTACAGTTTTGAGTTTTTATATGTAAAATTTTATCAAAATACTTGAATCAATTTTTATTGATTAAATCGAATATTTTTACGTATGTTACGTAGTTTATGCAACTTTTTTCAAGGCAAAATTTCACCTAATTTTTTGTTTTATTTTTA